ATGTTAAAAAGATAGCTAGGTATACAGTATATACACTTAACCCTGAACTTAATGCCCAGACACGTTTCTTTATATTGACTTAATATATTAAGGTGTTCTCCAGTTACACAGTTCTAGTTCCACGTTCTATATACAACTCACACCTGCGTTTATTGATGATGTAATGACTTTACGCCGCCGAGGTCAATCTACGAAATTTCAGACGTATAACGATGATTGAGTGCACATCAATACTATTTTTTAAATAAATATGTACGGAAGTTACTCGAACAGTTATTCCGATGGTAAGCAGCCGTATTGCGACTGACAGTCCATTTTACACAGCCATATTAACGGCAAAGTGAGTCATTCGTGTCTTGCCGCTGTCTGCAGGTTAAATTAACGTCTCATAAATATTCATGAGACATTGTCACAGAAAGTATTATAAGCATTAAATTTTGCTGGTATTTCGATGTTTTACGCACCGAGTTTTAAACTCACCGATTTGCGAGTAAACCTTTCTATTGAGTTATATTGTTATGCTGTATGTTCACCTGTCAGTGGTTTTCATTTAGCGGATGCCACGTATCGGCGGAAATATGGTTATTAAAACACATCGAATAATTAATGTGTTTACAGTAGGTCTGAATGCATGTCACATTGACATGACTGGAGATTGCTGAAGTAAAATTACGCTAATCTGGTTGTCTGTCAGAATAGGTGCTCAAATTGTACCAAATACAGTGGCGGCGGCACAGAGGGCAAATGGGGCGATCGCCTCGTCCCTCAAAAATCAAACTGAAACCCATTGTGTCAGCAAAATTTGCCCCTCAAAATGCAGGAAATGGCGTTTCAGAGGGTCTAGATTTCCAAATTTATAAGGGGGGCATGCCCCCGGACCCTCCTAGTAAGGTCGTCACTTACATTGCGATGGTCATCGCGCTGCGTAGTGTTCGATGTGTGTAGAATGTATACAATTCGAGTAAAATGCATTTGTGTACATAAATTGAACGCACTCAGCACTACGACTAACGCGTTTTATGAAATCCCTTCACGTCCAGCACATCAGTGGTTGTGTGTCGGTGTATGTGCTAGCCACTACAAGTACATAATGTGTTGACGGATGCAATAAAGTAACTTAAAGTGTATATACACTATACCCAAGACATGATAAATACTCACCACCGTATCCTGACGTCTGGAATGTAGAGGTCAGGAAATAGGAAATCGTTTCAGCGAACTCAGCATAGCTTTACCGTATCGTGACGTAGAAATGGCATATACTGAACCCTGGGCGTGGGTCTCTTGTGAGAAATGTCTAAAGGGTATGTCCGGTGCTTAAGAAGTTCATAAACCATTTTGTTTGATTTTTCTTAAATGTCAATAGTTGAAAGTTTACAATGAAGAGGCATTTTTTTTCGACATTTTATTTTTTCGCGCAAATCATGACATACCCGTATAAATCAGTCTCTCTTTTGACACCCCCTCCCCCAACACAGACACTAGCGATTCCTGACTTGAAACACATTTGAACTCGAATTTAAACCAATCTTGAGTTAAATCCGAGGTCGTTAGAGTTCATCAATATTTTATGTACATCGTCGATAATCTGTCGATTACAGCGAGCATTGGAAATGCTACTCGCGTAAAATCAGCCGTACCGAAGTATCAGAATTAACCGTGACTGTAGTACACCGCTCCCTCCTTCAAGAGTTACGGCTTTATGTGTAGAACATTGTGTTTTCGAAAACTTATACAATCCAATTCTATGCTACATCTTTAAATATGATAATTTTTTTCAATCCTACTATAGTAATGTCGTTTTCTCACAGCGTGTGAAATGGATATTTCTACCCAATGTTATGATGCTTTATACCTATATAAAATAATATTTCTAGTGGCATGTGTATTGTAAAAGAGATTTCTACCCTCTTATGTTATGTGGTTTTGTAAAGCCTTTTATATTAAATTACCACAGTATTGTATGTCTACACACTGTACACTGAAAGCTAATATATAATGAATGACATACGTACCCTAACAAGCCATTGTTTTTAGAAAGGATATATACGATGAAAATGTCTACTCTAGCAATCTGAAATCTTAAATATGAGAACTTGTCTATCCTAACAAGAAGACATTGGTGTCTGAAAGCTCATATATGACGGCATGGATAATCTAATATTTAAAAAAAAAACTATAAAATATTTCTAATTGTGGAAGAAACGCCCGCTCTTATACCAATCATGTGTTTATTACAAATGCTTATTGTTCTAAGTTACAAACTCAAGCACGATTATTTTAGTGTCAACGATCTTTTCCTGTCACTAAATTGTATTTTTCAATTGCGACAATTTGTAATGTTCAACACTTAATACTAACCAAATTTGCAATTGGTATTGGTCACAAAACTGAAGAAGACACATGCGTGGTTGATTATGTAAAACATGTGCAATTACACAAACAAAATCTGCACACTGCCAATTAATATCGAAATATTATACATTTGTATTGCGTTTAATGCAAAGATCGAAAAAAAAGTTTAAAATAGGCAATCATGCTTCAAATCTGCCTGTGACTAGTGCATTACGTTGCGTTAATCGAAGTCCGCTGAACTGTTGACACTAGCTAAAACGCCTAAAAACGTTTACACAAGTTTTGATCCAAATATTTCTAAATTCATGTTACATAGAACAGAGTTACATGTATTGCATCATTTGGTTGCCATAAGTTGTAATGATTTATCTGTGAATATTTAATTTATTATTGTTGCAAGGATTTTTTTCTCATACGTGTTTCCCTCTCTCTCTCTCTCTTTGACAGATTGGTTCCGGTCGTTACAAAATCTGTGGTCGCTGCCGCGCCATCTCTGTATTTTTTCGCGTGTGTTTAACATATCACACAGAGACCATTACGATGACAGGTGTGCATGACACCTGCGTTGTTGCAGATTACCGAAGATTACGATCTTTCTCTAGAAATCTATAATATGTTGGCATATGCTAAAATTACATTTCAGTACACATTACCTGAATAAACAATTCAGTTTGAAAACGAAATATTTTACTTCTTTTTGCAAGCAGATAATATTAAAAGCTGTCACTGTATAAAATGGATTGAGTTCCTATTTTGGGATTGCAAATGATTTCGGCGGTAGTTTCGTTATCCTATTTATTCTCGTTTTATTGTATTATTATTTATCGTGCAATGTCCGACTGCGATATAATAATATATTGCGTAAATGTAAATGTTCTCTTTATGCAGTTTTAAAAATATTTTAGCTGTTTGTTGTTGTCATGTGTACATAAAAACATCCAATCACACTATATAGACCACGGGTTTAGAACACTTCATATCTGACATTTGACCTTGTTTTGAGGTTATCGCTGCGACACAATCGGGAGGTTATATTTTACGACTTGAGATATGGTTTACGTCATGTCGCAAATACAGCCGTGTTGATTGATAATCACTATCAACCGAACGATTATTATTATTCAAGTAGGTGACATATGTGCAGGTATTTTAAGAACGCTGTAAAAAAAACTCGTTAATTATCCATTGTTCATACCATTTATGGTGCAATACTATGGGCTGGTTTTCTTGTGAAATTAGGTCCGAGATGTCGACACTGTTCCCGTACAATTCACGCGTTCGTGCGCCATTACAGCCGAAAACAATCGAAAAGTAATACGCTATAATGGTATTTATTCTACGTACAATGGCATGCACAGAATTATTCCGCGATAGCAACCAAAACTAAAAAAAGACGGAATATGATAAAACAATATTTGGTCACTTGTACACGCACGCGCGCGAGCACCCACACGTGCTTTTGTTATACGCATACAATCCAAACTTAGCGCCAACGGACTTTCAAAATGAATACTTGAATACTTGCAGGTGAAACCCCACATCAAACAATAACATACGTAGTTCATGTTGAAAAATTGCTTTAATTAAACACTTCTCCGTCATCCAGATATTAGATAAAAAATAAAGTGATATATAATTCATGTAAAATCTTATTTGGCCCCTTAGACTATTTTCTCGACCCACTCCCAAATGTCTTAAATATATTCACCGTCTAATAGCATCGTAACGTTCTAACAAATTGTGTATTTTTCATCAACTGAATTTAGTTCTCAGTGTGTAATATGTTCACTGGAAACGAGCAGGAAGGTGCGCCCGACAAAGCTTGGTGAAAAGGATTTAAACGAGGTCGAGTAATCGTATAGTCACGATGCTAGTCAGCTGTTAGTGCACTGGTGATTTGTAACCGACTAAAAAACAACCTAGTTGGCGGTATGAATTTTGAACACGTATAATATTGATATTTACAACTTCATTGTTATTAGCGCTCCCCACGTCCACACTGTATTCGTTGTATGTAGCTCAGACAACTAATAAAGCAGACCCCCTCCCCTCCAGCAGGATTATACCATTTTTATAATCACAGCGTTGGCACGCATGTCTACAATGGTATTATAACTCGCTCACTAAACTATGGCAATGGTCCCTACGGGCTAAATAATGTCTCTCGTACATTTACACGTTACTCGATGATTGCCATTGCGTGTGCTGTACAAGTCCGCCAACCAAGGTCAACGCTTAATAATATCAAATGGAATGCAGTTGTTTCTAAAATTCTTTCTCGTTTCTGGGCGAGCCGTTTCCCTGTTAGAGATTCTGGCATGAATACTCCGGAGGGACATCCATCTTGAATAAGATAATGCGCTCACATCAGGGTAATAACTTCGAGAGTTGAGCACTTTCGCTGCTCGTAAATTATGGTCACCCCAATTAAATTGAAAATGTGAACGCTATCGTTAACGTCACCAGTTCACAACAAATCGATGTGTAACTATCCAGGACTAGTTAATGAAAACTTAACTATTCCGTTTATCTGCACCGTAATTTCTTTAAAAAAATAGCAACCAGGTTAAAAGAAAAAAAAAACGAGTGCCTGGAGCAAAGCAGATCGGGTTATATTGCGGCTGACAGGGGCTCAGTGTGTGCGTTCAACGCGTCTAATTTTAACTCGGCAGGTATTCCAGATGATTATAATCTCTCATTTGAATATTTCACCTGCCTGGCGACTTTATGTTTTCAAACTGATCTACTTCGCCACGAGTTCTCTGTTGGTCCATGTGGAGCTGTAGATAAGAATTCGAGCACTGCGTCGATATAATCTAGCGCTAAGCGATTGGCCCACGACTCGGGCTGCCATCCCTCGAAAAATCCGCAGTGTCCTCCGTACTCCGTGGTGACTAGCAAGAAATTTGGCAACATCGTAAAGAGATCGTAAGGTATGTTGTCCTTGCAGCATACTGGGTCGTCGAGACTGTTTATGCAGAGAATGGGGATTGCAACTTCGTCAACCTCTCTCATGGGGTCGTTTTTCTCCCAATAACTATCCAGTTCTTCGTACCCGTACAACTTGCAGTACACAGCGAGATCAAATTCCGACAGGGTCCGACTTCTAAACGCTCGGTCAACATCGATGATATTTGCCAGTGCAACGGCATGTTTTGCGAGTAGACATTTCATTTGCTGTAACAAAATCCAATCATAGGGACGTCGTATTGTATTATTTTCGATCATATCTTGCGCGGAGTACCCAGGCGATATGCACACCGCAGCCGAAATATACGTCGATGAACCGTACTCTCCCAAATAGGATACCAGAAGTCCCGATCCTGCGCTCACACCGATTGCTGTCACCCTGGCGTGTTTGTACAGGTCTCTTATATATTTAACAACTTGCCTTAAATCGGAGGTGTCCCCAAAACTTTGCAACTTTGGCGTCGTCAACGCTGATCCGCCGTGCCCCCGTTTATTGAACACTACCGCCCGTAGTCCGTGTTTGGTCGCCTCCTTACATATGTCCGCCACACTGTTTGCATCGCCTGTCAGTCCCGCGATGATGATGGCTACCGGCGTTCGATCGTGTACTCTCCTGATTGGGTTGGCCACCACCCAGTCCAATGCTACGATTCCGTCGTCTTTTAACTGAAAATACACCCGTCGAAATAAAACCTCTGGTTGTGGCCACACCATGTTTAGCATCGTCTGTAAATGACAGTTGCTAGCCCAGAAAGTTGGCCTGTATGGCCGGGTCAAACGAGTACATTTATTCAACAAGTGTTTCGTTAAGGTAGAATCCTTATAATGCAATTGTGGTATGAAAGACTGCTTTTTCCCCCAGGCTGCTTGGCAAGCCATGTAAATAGAAAATATCAGCGTAGTCAAAACAGCGTAGAGGTAGAAAACTACCGATGGAAACGAAAACGAAGCGCGTCGTTCGCAGACTGCCATGTTGTAATTATCGTCCCTTACTCTACTTGTCTGGTTGTACTTGCTTTCCTGTGTTGGCATTGGGGAAGAGATGCATGCGATTGTAGACTTTTTAAAAACGTACAGACATCCTATATTCCTAATGGAAAATGTTCCGTCCTCCTATAGATTTATATAAGATACAACAACATTTTTGTAACTACTACCACACAACGGCCGACTGAATCCACGTAACGCACCCTCACCGGTGCACACGGACCGTCCTGGGCAGAGCGGCAACTAGGCAAGGATGTGATCGAACAGTCAGCCTGTTTAGTATATTTTGCGTGCATATCCTCCGGACCCGATAACAGTACCTGGTCACAGCACGTTACAAACGCAAAGGAGATGCGGATATCAGGCTGTGTCGTATTCTGCGTGTTGAGAGCTGTAACGCAACAATCGCCGCCTGTGAATGGTACACTGCTGTGACGTCAAGCTCTCGTTGTTTCGTTGAAAAGTGTTTCCAAACAAAAATGGTTCATGGGAACAATATGCTCGGGCACGGACAATGTTACCCTATGAACCCTAAACTGTCAATATTATTGATATCGCAATTATAGTATTGTGGGGCAGGTCTAAGCACGGGTCTGGTACGCGGACTGGTAGAACTTACTCACCGTGAAGGTTCAGCGACCGGTTGCGGGTTCGCTAAATAAATGTATGACTCCCGACTACAGCATGTGCGTTCCGATGATGAGGGTGGTGATAATCGTCGTCATGTTTACCAACTGTTCACTCATATCTAATTGCCGTCCAAACTACGAGCAGTAGTAATGGTTGTAGTTAATCGTTTCCTGAAAGCCCATCGACCTTGTCGCAGGACACACACAAAAATATTTGTAGAAATTAACACTCAAATGTTACTCGTAGTTATTCCACCATAAATTCCGTGTGCGATAACAATAGCAACATATTTATAAAACCGTCAGCACAAGTTTAGTTGTTAACATGCCTCGAACACTCGGCAGTGCGATATCGCGATCGTGCATGGTATTCGTAGATGCTGATGTCGAACTATATATTGATGCTTAGACCGAATCAATGCATCTAGATATGTGATCCCCGGGTCTGATCACAGAAATCGCCGGCGTTTGTTTCCACTCCGACGTCTTTTCACGTTATGCAGTCCAACACACGTCGAACGCAGCACCGTATGCTATGTAGCGTATCCTAAAGTGCTATACTCCTATCTACATCAGCCACGGTAGTTTATACCGGCCCCGATCAACATCACCACTGATTGGATATCGGAGTTGTCACGTGGTGAGTTGCCGCAGTATTCTCTCCGATAGATGGCGCGAAACGTGAAAATCTAAGAAGGTGACTCACAATTGTTATTTATTTAACGGATTTTAAGATTTAGAACCGGATTCAGACGAGAGATTATTCGAAGCTCCGCTGCCTTTACACATGCCGCGAGTTACATCGACGGCACGATAAATAAGCCGCATTAAAACACAAAACACGCGATGGGAATTAGAGACGCATTGCCATCGTTAAGCGCCGGGTAATCAGGATTAATCGTTGGATTAATTAATCAGGTATTAATTAATTAATATCTGTGAACTACAACGCGTAGGTTTTTTCATGGTGTTACCATGGTGGTCCGTTAGTACTTTCCATGCTGTTACTAAAATCGGGGGTCGGTAATACAATCACGCAAAGTTTCCACGTAACTCGAAAGTAAAACAACGAATAACTGCGATCGTTATCATCGAGAAAAGCCGACATCGTCACATTCCTTGTTGATAATTTATACTGGACACTGGTGATACCGAACTATGCACAGCAGAGGTCGGTCTAGATCTGTCTAAACCAAAAGTCTCGTGAGTTTCTGTACGGTAATTATGGAGCAGCTTTTAACATTTATCATAGTATTCGCAAAAACAATAGGACTGAGCACACCCTGTCATTTCCTGTGTCTGTCGGGTTACGTGGAATCATGCCACGTGTAAAGACGTCATTGCCTCGGTCCGCAAAGCTATGAACAACGAGCGAAGCGCGCGCAATCGTTGAATTGAAACCACGTGCGTGCGTGTCGTTTCTCATCCAATGTTACATATAAGGTTATATATGTTATTGTATGTGGATCATTCTTGCGATACACGTGACTCCCTTTAGTGTATGTTTTCCTTACAACCAATATCTCAATTTGTGAAAGTAAAATAGTGTTCTAATCGATTTCCAGAAATTGTTGATGATTTTCATCTCAAAATATAAATATTCTGAAAACCCATATAAGGTTCAATAGCGAGTCACACTAGTGCGACACGTGAGGGCGTTATATGCCACGACGTCCCTTTAACCCGTCTCCCCCCCCCCCCGTATTTACTAAGTCTTATATGAACGGCGTTAATAGCTATAATACTCTTAATGCATATAACTGAACTTATTTTCGTTTTACTGTATTTCAAGTGATTTGGTGAATTAGTTTCGATATTCTTTAGCTATATAATAAATAAATAAATAAATAAATAAATAAATAAATAAATAAATAAATAAATAAATAAATAAATAAATA